GCACAAGGGAGCCTGGTGAGCAATGGCAGGGCTGTCAGCACATTTTGTGTAACGTGTAATGTGGTTTCTTTCTGCTCTTTTTACCACTGTGTTAACTGATTTCTAAGCTGTGGCAGCTGATCAGTAACTTACCTTATCACTTTAGCTTGAAGAACACAGTAAGTTTAAACTGGAGTCACACAGAGTTTAAAGTGAGGACAAGACGTTTTGTGGTTAAGTCTTTAAAAAATGCCCTATGTGTGTGTTGTCTGTGTGCATGAAGTAAGCAATTTCTAATTCCTTTCTTTTTAGGTGTCAGAACCCAGTTGCCAAAATGTTAGTGAGCGTTCCAGGCGATGTTTAAAGAAGTTTGAAACAGATAAAGCATCCTTTTTTAAAAGACTGGGCAGCAGCAGGTAATGGGCTGAGGCAGAGAAGCAGCACTAACAACCCGCCCCATGGCAGAGTGCCTTCCTCTGCGTGCAAAACTGCCCCAGCACTTCCCAGGCACTGATCCTTTGGTATCTGGACACGCTGTTCTGTGCTTCACTTCACTTTAATGAAGAGAGAGGAGCCCTGGGCTCCAGGCAGTGCTACAATGACCCATTCAGAATGAAATACCTGATTAAGAATGTAGCAAAACTTGTCTGTGACAAGCAGATCTCAGAATCTGTAAACAGAATTTTATTTATTTTATTTTATTTTTTTTTTTTTAAGGAGCAAAGTGGGTCAGACGCATGGAACAGTTTTGTGATAAACTGTTGATAAGCTACTGCTGCAAATATGTGGCTGTGGAGCAGTGATTATAGGTCTGTGGGTCTGGAGAGCTGGGTGCAGAGCTGCATCAGCACAGCTGGTCTTGGGTCTGGGCAGAAGCTCTTCACCCTGTTCCTTGTACTGTGGAGGAAACAGAGGAAAGGGAAAGATCTTGTAATCACTTTGTATCATGGGTAAGAACAAGCATTAAAAACTGTTTTTTGGAGCTGGACTGAGGTAGAAGGTGCAGTGAGAAAATTCCCTTTAATGCGGGAGCAAGCTGTTGCTTGTTTTCTTTTTCTCACAGAGAATTTGCCATTCAGCTTACATACTTTCAGAGTGTAAGACAGAGTGCACAGAGGCTTCCTCTTTCCTGGGCTAGGTTTGCCTGCAAGTGACAGGCAGTGACCGTGACAGATCATGACAAGAGAGCAGAACAGACCCAAACTGAGTGCCAGAGGACAGCACAGCAAAGTTACTGGCTAAGTGAAAAAACAAAAATCTTAGAATTATAGGTTGGCTTGGTTTGGAAAGGACCTCAAAGATCATCTAGATCCAACCTCCTGCTGCAGTCAGGGTTGCCAGCCATTAAGTTAGGCACCAGCTCGGGCTGCCCAGGGCCCTATCCAACCTGGCCTTGAAAGCCTCCAGGGGTGGGATATGCATAACTTCTTTGGGTAGCCTGTTCCAGTGCCTCACTGCCTTCTCAGTGAAAAATTTCCCAGCTTTACCATTGCTTGCAGCTGAAAACCTTTCCCTTGAGGCTGGAAGATGGCCATCTCAGCCAGCCCATCTGTTCTAGGGTTACCAAATGGCTCCTTCTGAGTGTACCTTGCAATCAATGTACAGTAAGTAAACTTCATTCTTAGGTTTTGGCTCCCAAAGTTTAGCTCTTGCAATCTAAATTGGACCTGCCCAGGGTATTTGAGAGGTCAGTGCTCTTGGAGACTGCAGTGGAAACTTGTTTGTAGAGAAACAGGGAGAGCTGGAACAATGTCAGATTGTTCTGGGAAAAGCAGCTTCATTGGGATATCTTCAAGGAGCAATTGCAAAAATAATACTTGCTGCCTGCTAATGGAGCAGAGCGGTGAGTGGATAAGAAATAGAAAAACCTGCTTTTTGTTCCAGCATCTCAAGATGTAAGACTTTCCTGGTAGGAGTATGCACGGAGAACGGTAATTTAAAGCAGCCACTCTACAGAACAGCTCATAGATATGTCTTAAATGTTAACGTTGATAAGCCAGAGATCTCTTTTAAAATAAATAAATAAATAAAAATGGGGAGGGGGAACATTTTTTGTTAAAATAATTGTAGAAAATCTTCTGGCCCGTCAGAATACTATACGGGCAGTCTTCCTCTCTATTTTTTTGTGGCTATTTGGTTGGGAGGGCAGGGTGGTTCTTGCACAGAATGTGTTCTAAGGCTTTCTGCTGAAATGCCATTGAAGGTACAGGCATTGTTCCAGGGCTGACATAGAGCAAGCATGAGGTTAGGCACCGCAGGTCTCCATCCTTCTCTGAAAGATGTTGCTTTTGCATGTTGTGTGAAATGAACTTTCTTTCTCAAGTGGCAGCCGACCCATGTATTTCTTCCACGTATGCAGTTATACCTTGCAGAAATTTAAACTCAGTTTTAGTCCACTCAGCACGGTGCCTCAAGAGCTGTTCAGTAGACCAGTCTTTGAGTAACTCTGTTTATTATCCCGAGGTTAGATTTGGCAAGAGGCAGCAGTAACCTGCCACCATGAAAAATTGTTTCCAACGTGTGCTGCATTAAACTTTTCTTCCATATTCAGCTATCACTAGAGGATTGCATTTTTTTTGCTGAAGAATTTAAAAAAAAAAAAAAAAAAAAAAAAAAGAAATTGACTGTCAATAGTGTTGTGTTAAAATCCCCTGCGGTATCAAGGTCTGCAGTTTATTTTATTTTACATTTGTGTGAGTAGAAAAAAAATCAGTTCTCTCCTTGTATCTCACTGAAAACAAAGTAACCTAAGCTGACAACAGGAAGGGATGAAAAGAGTTTGTTTTTAATATCAGTTGAAGGAAAGCAGTATAGATGTTTCCCTTTTGCAGGGGACCTTTTAATATGTCTTAGTTCCAAAGTAGTGCTCCCTGTTTATTTTCTTAGAGTCTAGTTTTCATCCTGAAAAGATGCAATTTCGCATTCAGGTACAATGCCTTTAATTCGGATGGATCTTGGAGACTACTAATAGCTTTTTGCACAACCTAGCTTAGCTGCAGCAATGCATATCACTAAATGCAATCTGCCCGTCAAGAGGCTGTGTGCACTGACCCTGCAAAAGGTAAAATCAGGAAATTAAAAAGAAAAAAAAAAAAAGCAGTATTGAGTTTAAACTGCTATGGGAATTTGAAGCGGGCAGCATGTTCTGAGGAACTGGTTTTGGATGAAAGTTGACCTGCCAGCTACCCGTGCTGCTGGAGGAGAAGAGGTGCTCCACCAGCAGCTCCGAGTGGGTCCTGATGTAGGTGGGGTGAGCTGCTGGCTGCAGGGGACCCACAGCCCTTTCCTTTGGCTGTCAGGGAAACTAATGAGTGTAAATGCCTGTACCTACAATTAATCTATGTAAATATCTACAGTTCTGTAATAAATTGAGCTTCTGTGGCAGCTTACATCTGTTTCTCCAGGCCATTAACATGAGACCAGGATTTAGTTGTTGTAATAATACAGAGGAGATTGTGCCTACAGAATATTTTGCTGTTGTTGCCATTGAAGGGCAAAGTCACAAAGAGGCGGTTTTGGGATGGTTGTTTTAAGAGTGCTTGAGAAGCAGCACAGTGTTTCTGAAAGACCACACATCCCTGATTAATTAAATAGTAAAAAAGGGTTTAAGCTGCTTAATCAAAATAAAATGTCTGTGTTTCCATATCAAGAGCAAGCAGATCATTTACAACATTCAGAACAGAGATGGGGAGAGTCCCTCAGGATATATATGCATGGCCACAGTCTTGGCTACTTGTACCCTGAGGTGCTGCTGGGAATGATGGCTGATGGACCACCACCTCCAGTCCTGGGACTGACCTTATCCTTGCTCTTCTCCTGCGATAAATGAGGGTGGGCACCCAGGTCTGGTGTCAGCTTACTGATGCGTGCCTGTTGCCTTCCACTGGCTGTGCCTGCTGCTTCATCCTGGGGCTGACACCAGGGATTTGTGCACCACAGCAAGGCATGTTTCCCACCCTCAGCACCACGTCCTGGCACAGGATCTAAGCACCCAGCCAGACATAAGGAAAAAAAAAAAAAAAAAGGAATGGCAGATTCCAGTGGTTAATTGGAGCTCTGCTTGTCCAGAGAATCAATCTCCCTTTTCATTGTGCAGTGAGAAAAAAGAAATCAGCTTGGTGCAGCAAGGAATGAAGCCACGCATCTCAGAAACTTACAGGAAGAGCAAAAAAACAAAGTTCAGTCAGTCAAAGCAGAAGCAGAAGCCACATCCAGAGAAGAAAAGCTTGGAGATATGTTTCATTGATTATTAATAATACTCTGAAATGTCTCAGTTTTCAGGAATTGTTTCACCTAATGTTCTGCTACAGTATGCAAGTGTATGTATATATGTATCTATGTAAATAGATATATAATTAGAGAAAAATGGCTATTCATTTGTTCTATTTGTTTCTATGCATCAGTTGAATAGTTTCTGTCATGCCAGTGTAGCTTGGGAGCATCCCACTGTTGGGTGTTACCTAGAGGAGAACCTACCTGTGGAGAAATGCCAATGAATTTGTTAGGTCAGGATGATAGTATTTGCAATCATACAAGAAGCAAATTAAAAACAATAGGGTTCAGAGACAACATTGAGGCCTGTAAGACAACATGGAAGCAGTAGAAGGGGGAATTTCTTGTACTGAGTTTGCCATTCCAGTTACAGTGGTTGTAAGGTCTAATTGTATTTCTGTGAACACCACAGCTCCTGCAGTGGGAACATCTGACTAAACAATGTGCAAAATAAGCAATCATTTCACCTGCTAAGATCGTGCATAATATGAAAGCAAATAAATCATTTTAGGATAGCTCTGCTACCCTTCACTGTAGCTGAAAATGATAATAAATAACTACTTGTCTCTGATGTACTAAGGAGAATGTGATCAGACAGCAGTCAGAACAAATACGTTTAATAGATAACTTTAAATACAGTAAGTATTTTGAACTTCAAAATATGTATTTCTTTGCTTGTGTATGCAGAGCTGTTCACGTTCCCTGAAAGAGTGAAATGCATTTTACCAACAATGTCTCTTCTCTCCTAGATCACAGAAGTTTGTGGAGCCAAACGTGTGGGCTATTTTGGTCCTGCTCAGTTTTACATTGCTTTGAAGTTAATTGCGGCAGCGCAGTCAGGGTTCCCAGTACGGATTGAGAGCATTAAGAATGGTGAGTAGCAAATGTTGCTTGCAGCACTGTGTGCTTGTTTTTCCCTGTCTTTAATCCTTGCAAGCTTCCAGTGGTGGTGAACTTTTCTTCTAATTTGTCTGTGAAACCAGTGTATTTTGACGATCTGAGGCTGGGTAGGAGGCGATGTTACTTTCTCTAAGTGGAAAAAATGGTAGAACATTGCACTGAATGACATGTGTGGCTGAGGTAGGATTGCAGCTCTGTCTCCTAAGGGGACTGCTGGGTGACAGCCAGTCAGTGCTGTAGGTACACTTCCCTGCCACCTTTGGACTCTGGTCCCAGAGGCCTCTGAGTGGAAACCAGTACTGCTTCAGATGGAGGATTGTTTGGGAGCCATGATAAAATAACACATTGTATTGGTAGGTATGGCAATGTATAGTAGATGTAATTTAGAAGAGCTTTGTTCTTCACAAAGTAGTGGTAGTAATAGTAGGTGTACCATTTTGATGGAGATACATGTTTCTTAGAAGGCAAATCAAACTCAAGTGGTGAAGAGAGAAAGCAGGTGCCTTTCAGCTGCAGAACTGTCACAGTGACTGCACAGAGGGAGCTGGATCTTCTTGCCCTGGTTGTCCTTGCTCAGCCTTGGCAGGATTCAGACTGAGGATCAGGAGGGTTTCCACTTATGTAACATTCTCTTGTGCTGTGCTCCTTTCTAAGGATGCCACTGCTGGTCTGAAAAGAAGCAAACTGAGTAAGAAACCTGAACTGAAGTGATATACTGTGTGTGTGTATGTGTTACGAGCACAGCAGCTGCATATCATCTACTAATTTGAGTGAACAAAGGTGCTTGCAGCCTGCCTACTGATATCTTGCTCTTAGAAATGCTTCCAGTGCTAATTGCATTTTCTCTTGAAATGTATTAGTGATTTTAGAGCGGGATGAGTAGCAAGCACCAAACCTACATTGATTTCTTTTTCTTCCTCCTAGCAGTTGTAGGTGTGTAAATGATTATGGAGGTGATGCATGGTTTGACCTTGAACACTGTGTTCTGTTAATTTTAGTTGTATTGATCTTCAGGTCTGACTGCACAAAAATTTATGGTTTCTAATAAGATTCCCCTAAACTAGTTATGAATTGTCTTAAAGATGCATTTGCTTAGGTGTCACTCTTCTGCTATGCAGAGCAGAGACGAAATGGTACCCCCCATCTCCCTCTCTGACCTGGTCACTGAACCCCACTGTTTGTAATTTGCTTCCTGTATGATGGGAACACTGAGAATGCTGTCACCCCAACCTAATGAATTAATCAGTCACACAGTTTCTATGGGAAACTATTCTTCTTACTAAAGACATTTCCAAGTCAGAAAAGGAGTTTGCCTCTTGCTGTAATAATGTGTGTAAGACTTCTTTCTTTCTCTACACGTTAAGAGATAATGCATAAATACGGCAGACGTAGCTTCGTGTAACATTCTATGAAGACAAAGTAATCACAAGAGTTGCACATTTATAGATGTTACAAAATACAAGTAGCTTTCTTTTACAGATAACCTTTTCACTGGTTTTACAATATGGTACTGCTTCAAGGACTTTCATTGTTCTGAAGTCCCAATTGAATGTTTCTCTCTTTTAATGAAGAATTGCCTCTGCCACGGTTCATGGCGCTGAAAAATGACAGCGAAGTACGCTATGGGACTCCAGCAGAGCTCCATGGGGCTAAGTTTCAGTCTCCACACGCAACTCTGGAAAAAAATTCCTTCAAAAGAACAGATGAAGTAGACAAACAGGTAATGGGCTGTCTTCTTCAGGCTAGTGTATCACTGTGCATGCTGCATTTGGGCCTGGTCCTGGAAGCAATGACACTTGCGTGAATGTGTGCAGCTTTGCAGCACTGTACTGAATGAGAGCTCCTTACGTGTTAATAATCACCATCAGGGCTGTGCTCTTGTTTTGATGATACCTCTCGTATCAGGTTATCCCTGAGGGAAATTTCTTTATGTGAGCATGTGTAAAACTGTCAGCCCTGTAAGAATTTTGTGTAAGTTCTTCCAGTGTTGTTCTACTGATTGTAGTGCTATTTCTTGGAGAGGTCAAGGGGTGGAGGTGCAAACAGAAATCTCTCTGCTCATGGAGGAATAAACAGGAAAATGAGGAATTTTTCATGGCAGGCATGATCCTTAGTTGCTACAGAAACATTCAGTTGGAGAAGAGGTGGTGAAATGGGGGAGCTGGTTATTAGCCACTCTTTCTGGGTGGGATAAGCCACCGTATTTCCTTCCTTTCTAATCTCCAGGGGAGGTCCAGAAAAAACTCTTTTTCTTTTGTCCTCAGTGAAACACCATCCCAGCTTCTCTTGTCCTAAACTGCCAGTTGACTCATGTTAAGCCTTCTGTAGATGCTTCTTTGGGCATGTTTGGAAGTAGATTGTCCTGAGCTGTTTTAAAGCTTTGCTATGCCATTACCATTCTTTATCCTGGAAGGTTCAATACCAAATTCATCTTTTCTTTTTAGTGAGAGTTTTCTTGGATATAGAGGGTCTGAGGAAATTGAAGTGCTTTCCTCTTCTTTGTCCATCATGCTGTATGTTTTTGGGCTACTGGGCAGAATTACTTGGTTTTGTTGTTGTCTTAGGATTCCTTTCTGTATTGATGTGTTTTTGAAGCAGGAACCCAAGTCTCCACCAATGTCTCCGATCTGTTCACCTCCTGCTTCTCCGTCTACCTACCAGAGAATACCCTTAACTTACGGATATGGTAAATCAAGAAGTGGGCTGGAGCAGCAGCATGGAGGTAGGGTAAAAGTAGGGATACGCACACTGTGTTCAGTTATTCTTCTTCCTTTTCTCAGAAGCAACCAAGTTTCCAATGGAACTGACAGCGTAGAGATTTTAAAATTTAATTATACCCCTGTTTTGGAAAATGATCCAATCATCTCATTTTATTGTGCCTAAAAGCTTTTCTTTGATTGTTCAATCCTGTCTTCTTGTTTACTTTCAGGTAGATTAGTTAGATTTATGTTTCGTAGGTCACAGATGAATGCTCATACCTAGTCCCTGGCAAGACTCCCTGTGATGTATCACAGTGGATATGTTTGTAAGTATTTTCAGAGCATGTGCCCTGGTAACGGAGGACACTGAGAAGGAGGAATTAGTGAACACTCTCCTTGCTTCAGTCTTCATTGCTAAGACTGCCTCTCGGAAATTCCAGATTCTGGAGATAAAAGAGAGGGCCCAGGGAGGGGAAAACTTCCCCTTAGTCAAGGAGAATCTGTTCAGAGACTGTCTAGGCAAACTTGACATACACAGATCCATGGGCCCTGACAGGATGTGCCCATGAGTGCTGAGGGAGCTGGCAGAAGTGATTGCCAAGCTGCTCTCTATCATCATACTACTGGGTCTTGTCTTGTTCAGCATCTTTATCAGTGACCTGGATGAATGACAGAGTGCATCCTCAGCAAGTTTGCTGATTATATGAAAGTGGGAGAGCGGCCAATGCACGAGAAGGCTGAGCTGCCATTCAGTGAGACCTGGACAGGTGGAGAGTTGGGCAGAAAGGAGCCTTATGAAGTTCAATAAAGGGAAATGCGGAGTCCTACACCTCGGGAGAAATAACTTAATGCATCTGTAGGGGTTAGGAGCTGACCTGCTGGGAAGGAACCACTTAGAGAAGGACCTTGGTGTCTTGGTGGACAACAGGGTGACCATGAGCCAGCAGAGCTCGTGATTTCAGTAGCTACTGTATTAATATTCAGATTTACAATGGACCTTCCTTTGCAGGAAATGATAATAATCTGTCTGATTTCATAACGGAAATTACAATGGGATATGAATATAAATACAGCCCAACAGCATAATGTAGACAAAACAGATAAAAACAAGGCACTACAACGTTGTCCTTCCTTTAAACTAATTGGCAAAACTTTCTGGTTTTGGTCAGAGGATAGTGGAGCAGGAGCCGGTCTTTACAAAAGCCTGAGGTGAGCCTGTTAATAGTAGGATGTCAGTGCTCTCCTAATTGCAGCATCTGGTGACCAAGGAGGTGAAGATAGTAGGCACTGGTACATAGCACTCCTTTAGCTAGGAGTCCTTCAGCAACTGTTTTTGTTTACACATGAGTGGGAAAAAACAGGGCTAATACAACATTTAGAAACTCCTTACAGAACATGTTCAACATGTAAAATGGTCTTCACATGAAAATCATGTAAGTGCTGAGTTGCAGGCATTCCATTTGTTGGTTAGGTAAACTACCATTCATTCAGAAATGGACTTTTTCCCACCCCACCTTTACTGTTTTGATCCGTTACACTAATGGATGACTTCTGAAATAAGCAGTGTTAGTAAGGTTGCCTTCTGGTAGGACATGTTTTCCACTTTGATGAATGAGACCAGTAGCAGCAGAAACCCTGAAGACCGGAGCACAAGGAAGGGGGATGCCATCAAAGCTGCCCATAGTAGTGCTCTCTGCTGTTTTCTGGGATTTTTTTCAGTCTCTGCCAACAGTATGTTTTTGGGGGAAGATGGGGTGGAGTGCCTAGGAATTTGCTTACAGTAGTAACTTCAATGAAAGTTCTCATGGAATCAATCAGTATTTGTGCAAAATACATAAAGACAACAGCATCCAATCCAGGTATATCAACTTCTGAAACTAATCATTCAGCTGCTTGAGTTGGTAAAATCCTGGAGGAGTAGAGCACTAAACGTATTTTTCAGAAAGCATTTGGGATTAAAATAAGGACATGAGTTTTCAGCTCAGCATTGGGTGCCTTACCAGAAACAAATTCTTCAGCCAAATGCATTCGCAGTGGAAGTAACTAAATAACATGTTAGGAACTGTGCTGTACCAAAGGGCTGGGCTAGATAACGTACTGATTCCTTCTGGCCTTTTAAATTAAGAACCTTCCAGTTTCCTGTGAGCGCACAAGAGGATAGACTTGAAAACAACAGCACTTGTGCATGTGTGTGAGGTAATAGCTTCACAGAAGTGATCTTAATAAATACGTTTTATATGAATGCATGATTCTGAAGTTGAGACAGTGTGACTAATAGTCAGCCTTTGCATTCATTGGTATCCAAATACTAGTGGATTTTACTTTTTTCTGGGTAATTTTGAAGTTTTTCTTGCTTGCAAACACACAGCAGTGACCCTGTGCTTAAATCTCCTCTTGAAGTGCTTCTGTATATTTCCCAACTTCCTTCCTGTGTTATTTTTCTTTTTGTTTTTTTTTTTTTCCTGAAGTTAGAACTTAATTGTACAGGAATAAAAATAGATGCCAATACAGGATAAGTCGCTTAGGAAACCGAGGGGGTTTGGAAATGTAGTTTTTAAGGTCTTCCTGAGCTCAAAACCATTAAGATTTCTTGGACTCACTTTTCATCAAGACTCTTAAATTTTGTCTCCCTAATGCTGACTGTCATTGTAGCGGTGTATTTTAAATGTCCCAGGAGCAAAAGTTTTCACCTCTGTAAGAGTTTGCAAGCGAGTTGCCTTTGCGTTTGCATGCTTGACCTATTTTTAAAACATTGTTCTTAAATGTGCCGTTATGTCACTGCTTACTATATTTACTGCAGTGGAATGCAAGTGACACTTATCTTGACAAAAGAAGGAGCGATTGTTACTTTTCTTGACTAACTTTACTCCAAATAATGAGAAGTGGTGAGTCACATATTTTGATTTTCAAAAGAAATCAGGGATAGGGGGAAGAATAGCACGTGGAAGATTATTGTATCAGAACATTAGAGTTTTACTGTTTGATAGCATTGTCAAAGCATGTTGTTTTGCAGCTCAACTATTTCTTAAAACTTGCAATGCTATCTTCTGCTATATAAAGGTGTAAGTAAAGACAATGTATAAATATATAAACAATATATAGACATATATTTACACATCATTTATAATGTTTTCTGTTATCTACTAATAATGACAATTTCTATCAGAAACATCTAAAGACAAGCATGTAGCTGGCATTTTGTTGTTGAACACTCAATCTTCTTTGATACTGTGTTGCTAAGGTCACTGATACTTGCAGGATTTAATGTTTTGCTTTTGGATTATCCTTTCATTTATGTACTCATTTTAAATGTCTGTAGCTCCCTATGAAGTCAGACACTCTACTCACCAGCAAGATGGATCATCATCAGGGAATTATGGGGCCAAACCTGCTCTCTCATGTTCAACTCTTAGCCGGGTAATGGATTATTTGTCTTTTCTTTAGCAATGTTACTGATAAAGCAATTGAGAAAATTGAAAAAGAAATCTCGCTTTAAAAACTTAAAGTGTTCTCCGTGGTATTTTTAGACAAGAGACTGAAAGATGCTTTTTTAGTGTAAGAAAAAGGAAGTAGAAATTAAAATGAATGATCCAATTAAATTTCTGAAGCTAAGTAAAATGAGAAGCACCAAATAACGTAGAAAGGAAAACTGGACTGAGAATCTTCAAAAGTTAAAAATAATTGTGAGGTTATCCTAGCAGAGGCAAAACATTTAAATTTGAAATATATGAGGTTTCATTGAGATTCCTTCTTGAGTTAGGATGTCATCTGTAACACCTGCACAGGGGTCCAATACTGTGTGTGTCCCTTTTTTACCCCAGTTTATGAGATGACAGCTCAAGCAGAACAAACAGATTGATGGTCATTTATTGTTCTTATGAGGTGGGTCCTATGTTTTCCTGCTTGTTGCAAAAGCAGATTTTTCTGATGTTCCAGTAAGCCTGCTGTACATTTCTTATGCAAACAGAGTTTGCCTTGAGGAGGCGCAGAGCTCTCCCAAGGGGAAGTTTTTCCTAAATAAGTGCAACTCAGGGACTTTGTAGCTTTTCCATAGTGTTTAGCATTGCATAATAAAATGTCACCAAAGCTTCGGGGAAAGATCTAGAGATAATGGTGTATAATTTGTGCAAACTGGAAATGAAATTGAATGCATTTGTGCAGTACTTTGAAATGAAAATTAATTTACAACTGTATGAAGTTGCCTGTTTCAGGGGATCTTTTGATGTATTTCAGAAATGGTGTTTTGCTTTGATACTTAAATAAAGTGATGTCTGTCAGAGAAAGGGTTTTGGAGATGATTGGCACCTGGTTGTTCGTTTTTACCCCCTCTCTATGAATGCTGTCATCCAGACCTAAAGCGTCTCAAACCCAAAGTCATTTCAGTTCAAAAAATGTCCTAATTATATTGGCAGCCCTCTTCTAGAGTCAATCAGAAAAGCATGTAAATAAAGGACTACAACATCCTCTAGAATATTCTTTTTCCTCAAGTTGTGGTTTTTACTCAAAGTGTGGGAAATGATAGAAAATTAAGGAGATCCCTGAGGGCTTGCAAATCTGAGTGAAGTGTGTGCCGAATTACCTTGGGTGAGCTGTGGATGCAGAGGCAGACCAGCTCTGTAGATACAGCATCTCTCCAAGGCCAAATAGTTTCTTAGAGCTAAAAAGTCAGGCACTGCACTGCACAGGTATAGATGTAGGTCTGTTACTAGCCCCATTTTAGACATATGGTGTTCAGATTGTAAGCATGGCTGAAACCTCAAAATGAATTCAGAGGTGGTAAGGGATGACTTAGACTTTATTGTGGTCAGCACTAATAAGATTTTGTTTTTCTTTTAGCTTTGGTAATAATGTAAAACTTCCTTTAATTGTCCGAATAAAGTATTAGCCTCAGTGTTAAAAGTAATCAACGTGGCCGTTTCTACTTTTCATCTCTCTGAATACCTGTGTGCTGCCAGAACAGCACGAATCTGGTCTGTTGAGGTTCCCAGAGCCCTATCTGGCCCTGTCAGCTGGTGCCAGTGACCCTTCTCTCAGTCTCTTTCAGTGGAGCGGGAGCAGCCGGACAGCAGTGCCCATTACTCAGATGACCCTTGGAGGATAACCGAGGAGCAGCGAGACTACTATGTCAACCAGTTCAAGTCCCTGCAGCCTGATCTGAACTCTTTTATTTCAGGTAATTTTTTTACCAAGACGTGTCCACTTTGAGTAGGGGAACCAGGTTGAGAGATGTGAAGTGTTAAGTAGTTGAATTATTTGTTTTCTCTTTAATGAGCTTATGGACAGGAGTTCATTGTGATTTATTTTTAAAGGCAGGCAACTTAAAGAACAGCCCAATACTGTGGGCATTATGTTTTTTTTCCTAAATATGGATATTAATTCTTTCAGAACTGATTCTGTTCCGAAGGGTAACCATTTGAAAAGCAGAATGCATCATACCTCCTTCAGTTTTGCAGATACTCTTCAATACTGAAGATCTCTTTCCCCTTCATTTTAATCCCTGCAAGTTTACTCTTCCATCAGAGAATCAGGCAAGGCATTTTTTCTTTCCCTTGAGCATCTTCCAAAGAAATCCAAACGGTGCTTTTTAATACAGATCTGCACTCCTGTTGTCCTGTTTCACAGGTGTTATTGTTGGTAGCAGTAATGGTACACATCATGTTTTTGTCCTTGGTTAAGCTGCTTGCAGAGCTAAGGGGAAAAAGACATAAAAAATTCGTGACTTCACACAAAAACAAACTGGTTACCTATTTCCAGTGCATGATTTGAAACCTTTGAGAGAATATGCACACTGGCTGCTCAGACTTGAGGCAACACTAAATGTTTGGTCCTGATTTGGAGAAAATACCTCTTAGGAGAAGCGTTGTGGTTTGGTGAAAATTAAGATGAGCTAATATTCTGAGCATGTGTATTTGTAGATCACACCTGCAGTGTTTATTGAGCTGAAAACTCTGTAGGCTTGGGCTTCACTTTCCCTGACCTGCGTATCAAGCCTGAGGGTTTATGGCTCTGAGGGACTGAGATTTTGTCTTCGAGGTGGTTAAAAGCAAATGCTGGAAAGCACATACATGGTATAATTGTAGTAACAGCATAATGAGATTGCATTTCCATCCTGAGTGGGAGGATCAGGGTGCCTGTAACAGGCTTCCCTGCAGGTACTGACAGTCTGTCAAAGAAGTTGCAGTGTTTACAGTGAGGACATTTTTTGAGTCTAGTTGTACTGCTGTTCTTCAGCATCATCTGGGATTCAGCATCCTTGGATGGAGCCGATGGTTTGAATGAATGAGTTGTCTGGATGAGGTGCTACAAGATGTGGTTTAGTAGCTTAGTGGGTAGTAATGGTTATAGGAGGACTGTTGGACTAGATGATCTTGTAGGTCCTTTCCAACCTTGTGATTCTGTGATGAATCACCTGATGCTGACAGAAATTAATGCTTCTGCAATACTTTTCCTCAATTAAGTTTTATAATTTACTCGAGGGAGAAAATGGTTGTTCAACTACACCGCATTTCCTCACACACCTATATACATCTGTGACTGTGTGCATGTGTGTATACTCATATAGAGTTTCTCAGGGAGCTCTGCATTTTTATTTATGTTGAGCAAGACTCTCAGACAGTCTTACGCATCCAGACTTACTGCTTATAAGTGATAAATTCGAGCTTCCCACAACGTCTTAAAATAATTAAGCTGTAGAAATCTTTGCTGTGGGGTGATACTGGTGCTAGAAATTTGTTCAGGCTTAGGAATTTATTTAAGAAATCCATCATATGAAAATCCATCAGTAGTTACTGAATATTTCAGTCCTAGCCCTGGTCAGTGCTTGAGGGGATATTTTGGAGCTGTACTATTACATGGCTTTGTCATGGTCTTATCCTCCTTTCTTGACATCTGGCTCCATAGATGACATGCTGTGCTAGCTGTATCTTGACCTGTCCTAGTTACATCTTTCTCACGCGCTGCAGTGGGTGATCTCACCTGAATGCATGAAGAAAAAAGGGGTATCGACCTAGAAGTGTGTGTTACTTTACATTCTGTAAAATATCAACGTAGGTTTTGTAAGCCTACATCCTGGCAGGGCTTCCAGAACACAGAGAACTTGTGCTGCCCCAGTAGCAATATGCCCATGTGCTTATTTCACGTTTGGGCCGTTCAAGGTGACGCTGTGGTTGAAGCAGTGGTTTGGGAGAGTAGTATACATTGCAGCACTGCGCTGCCATGCACGTGGCTTCTGAATGAAGCAGAGCTGTTTGTGTCTGTTATTTCATCCTTGATGACATGGTAGTGTGTTAGTTATAATCACTATCACTGAAGCATTTTTTCTTTTATCCGTTTTTCCCATGTGGAGGGAATGGGGAAATGAGGTCAACAGCTCTGTCTGGATTTCTCTGTTACAAATGGTCCAACAACTACATTAGGATGCGGTTAATCCTGGTGCCTGCTGAACGTACAGTAACCAGCTGCTTCTGATAAAGCAGCCTGGACCAAATGTAAACAACTGGAGAATTAATTTCTAGCAGTTGATAAGGCATGGTTTCCCAACAGGTTCTGTGGCAAAGAATTTCTTCACGAAATCAAAGCTGCCCATCCCAGAGCTTTCTCACATCTGGTAAGTACTGTAGTAGCATTTGGGATGTGTATCCTGTTTTTCAAAAGATACCTAATGGAAGAATTCTTTTTGAATTAAAAAAAGTGTCTTCAATTCTAATTATCACTCTTATCTCCAGATTCACTCTCAGGCCCAAGCAGCAGGGTGCTCATTGATCTTCCTGACACGCTTCTTTTCTGCAGGGATGTTTGCTTGCTCAGCGGGATGGGAAAGGCTTGAAGAGCAGTGTAACTGAGAGCTGTTCCTAAGTGTGCTGTAAGGAACATCATTAGCTCAACGAACTGACATTTTTCATAAAACGATGTAGAGGAAGGCACATTTGGAATGTTTTAGATGTGTTGTTGGCTTTATGGTCCTGGCATTGTTCTGTCAGATGAGGCCTAATTAATGCCTAATTTTTAGTAAGTGCAACTACATAATTCATCAATGCTTTTCTAATGAAGTAGCACGCTTCCTTTTAATGAGTCTATTTAGAAACAATTGCAGATGGAACTGTACATGATAAAATTTGACAAGAATTCTATAATCTTTTCATAAACAATGTGGTGCTTTGTAGTTCAGTGTCTTCCTTCCATCTAGGTAGGAAAACTGTTTTAAATGTTGTTCAAAAATGCTGATGAGTTTTTACTTTATATATGCTTTTGTGAGAGTGGATATGAAGAAAAGCTTTCAAGAGCTGGAACATATATTGGGATCCAAGAATGTGTCTGGAATTTTTTTCAAAGCAGATTGTAAGTCAAGAAAATAAAAGGAGAATAGAAAACCAACAGCACAACAAAGCTGCTTGGAGAAGAGAAGGCTCTGAGGAGGCCTCATTGCGGCCTTCCAATATTTGGAGGGGGCGTATAAACAGGAGGGAGTATGACTACTTACGTAGGTGGATAGTGATGAGACAAGGGGGCATAGTTTTAAACTGAGACAGGGGAAATTTAGGTTAGATATGAGGAGGAAGTTTTTCACTCAGAGGGTGGTGAGGCACTGGAACAGGTTGCCCAAGGAGGCTGTGGATGCCCCATCCCTGAAGGCATTCGAGGCCAGGCTGGATGTGGCTCTGGGCAGCCTGGTCTGGTGGTTGGTGACCCTGCGCATAGCAGGGGGGTTGAAACTGGATGATCATCATGGCCCTTTTCAACCCGGGCCATTCCATGATACTATGACAAAAACAACAGAAACACAGCCAGAAAGGCATTCTGTCAGGGCAAGTCAGTATTTGAATTTGAAGTAAAGATTATATAAGAAGAATGGATTAAACCAATATGTTAATAAAACACATTCTATTTGTATTGCTCACATAAGTTGTTCTCTGCACAGAATTCAAAGAAAGCATTCCTTTCTAGTAGATAATTATAATTTTGTAGTGATTTATCAAGTATACTATGTGTTAAACGTATGGGGTGTTTATTCTTTGCCACTATGACCTCAGCAGCTTGAAAAAATACTTGCTATTTTCAAAGTATTGAAAGGTATGTGTTTCTTTATTTTAGTCACTGTGTTAATAGTAAGATATTACTTCTGGCAGGAGTTAATTTATGAAATTGAATTCTTCAATATCTGAAGCCCAGTGTTATTGTTTTATAAGCATTCAAGAGTTAAAGATACAAGAGATTTAATGAGCACTTAACAGTGATACTCAGACATGTCAAGAACTTTAATTTACCTACTTTCTTGAGGCTAGTCAGCATTACTGATTAAACGCTTGCTGAAATCTATTCTTAACTTTGCTTTAACTGGCTTAAGATCCTGCATGGGTTAGTCAAAACTGCTTGCAACCATTAGAAAGTTGATTTCACCCTTAGAAATGCAAGGGCAAGCGCTGCTCCAAAAATAATGCTTCCTATTTTATTATATTGGCCCATAATGTCAGAGGCAAATGTTGGCTTTAAAATAAATGAGGAGATATTGAGATTGGACATTATGAGGTAATTCTTTACTCAGAGGGTGGTGAGGCACTGGCACAGCTGCTTAGAGAAGCTGTGGTGCCCCATTCCTGGAGGCACTCAAGGCCAGGTTGGATGGGGCCCTGGGCAGCTGAGCTGATGGGGGGCAGCCCTGCCCACAGCAGGGGTTGGGGTGGGTGGGCTTTGAGGTCCCTTCTAATGCCACCTCTTCTGTGGTTCTAGGAGTTTTATAGTTACAGTCAAGTGGAACAATCAGTGGTTGTCCTCTATCAAAATACCTGTTTTCAAAGCTTAATTTCTCCATCCCCTGTAATTGCGTGTGTACACTTGCCTGAGGTGATGGCTTGGTAAACATGTTACTGCTGTACCTACAGGGAGCTCAGTGACGTGGATTGCGATGGGGCGTTGACACTCCCTGAGTTTTGTGCTGCTTTCCATCTGGTGGTTGCAAGGAAGAATGGTTACCAGTTGCCTGAGACACTGCCTGAGACACTGCTGCCGGACTACCTCCAAGCAGGTAACATCCCTGCAGCAGGGTAACATCCCAAGCACCTAGAAACTCACGGTCAACCTTGTAAACAAGGTTTAATTTTCCACATGGCAGGTGGAGCTGAGTTCATTGCATAGTGGCTCCCCATTATTTTTTTTTAAGGCGTGTGTTTTTAATTGTGTTTATGATGCAATTGTTGAAGAGTGAATGTATGAAAGCACAAAACAACAGTGTGACATGTAACAGTTACCTGCCTCTGTCTGATTGTCTGCTCCAGTGTGCTTTAAGTGCCATTATAGCTAAAGTGGCAGACGATTATGTGTAGCTATGACAAACCAACAAGACATATATGGCTTTTAACTCTTAGTTATTTTCTCATGTATCTGTCTTTTGAAGATGTGTTGGAAACAAGACTGGACTGCTTTAGAAATTGCTGTGCTAATATATGTTGTTGCATTCAGCCACCAGTTGTAGGAAAGGGTGAATTTTGTTTTAACTTATGTAATCCACAGCTTCTGTTGTAATTAATTTTCACTAATGATGGGGATTACAACAGTTGAAAAACAAGGATCATTACAACAGTGAAAAACAAGGATGAGTTATTTCAATGTATAGCATACCTCAGTAACTATGTAGTGAGAAACATGTCCTCTCATTTGCTCTCTTCAGTTACATCTCTTGTAATTATGAGTGAACATTGAAATATAGTGTTCAATCTGAAAAATGTGCATGGCTTTTTAGGGCAAGGAGGATTAATCACAGATGATAATTACAGTGCTAAGGGATAATATTTGAGACCTAATAAAATCTCCATTAAATTTGATGACACTGAATATATTAAAAGACAGGAAAAGAGCAAATCAACCTGCAGTTACAAAAATAAATCTGATATAGGGTAAACATTTAATAAGTAATTTCTGGTGCAATCATATTCTACTGTCTTCATGTCCAATGGGAGAAGCTCTTGTGAAACCTGCACCTCCAAACTTCATCACTTTTAGTCTCTCTAATTACATTCCCTTGTCATAATTACAACTGCCGTTTTCCTTCCAGTACCACCACTTTTACTCCTGTTGTCATCATAAAATAGCTTATAGGCTCTGTCTTGCAAGCTGAGGTTGGCAAGTTCATCTGTCAGACAAGGGGAAAACCATTTTTGGCAGCAAGCTTTCCAATTTAATCAGGAGGGTTTTAAACTAGAGTTGCCGGGGGTGGAGATCCTAAGATCATTGCACTTTGAGGCTGACAGTGGTAATGGATGCCATGAACCATGAAGCAGTTGGAGCAGGTCCAGAGGAGGGCTGTGAAGATGATCAGAGGGCTGGAGCACCTCCACTATGAGGACAGGCTGAGAGAGCTGGGGCTCTTAAGCCTGGAGAAGAGAAAGCTCCAAGAAAACCCTTATAGCTGCCTTCCAACCCTGAAGGGGGCCTATAGGAAAGCTGGGAGGGGTCTTTTTGTAAGGGTAAGTAGCGACCGGATGAGGGGAAATAGTTTTAAACTGGAAGAGGGTAGATTTAGAGTAGATATTAGGAAGAAATTCTTCACTGTGAGGGTGATGAGACACTGGAACAGGTTGCCCAGTGAGGTTGTGAATGTGCTCTCCCTGGACGCGTTCAAGGCCAGGCTGGATGGGGCTTTGATCAACCTAGTCTAGTGAGAGGTGTCCCTGCCTATAGCAGGGGGGTTGGAACTAGATGATCTTAAAGGTCACTTCCAACCCAAACCATTCTATGATTCTAAGTCTTCATATAAATCTACCTACAGTGGTATCAAGTCATTACATCCATGGAAGGAAGGGCATGGTAAGCTGTGGTTGTTCTCTAGGAGTCCTTTTCCATAATTTGTCCCTTTTAGCATTGAGCATTTATCAGTTTCACAGATGATTATTTCTTCATGTGTTGAACAGAGCCAAGCATTTCAAGCTGGTCTGTGTAAAAGGGTGACAGGACTAATAGTTCTAGGCACACTACACGGGTAGTGGGTAATAAGCTAATGCTGTTGATTTGGAGATCTGGAAATGTCTTGTTGCCTGGTCAGAATTCTGAAATCTCTAGACTTGCATAATTAACAAACACAGCATCTCAGTGCACTGTACTGCTGTGAATGACAAGAAAGAATATGGCCCTGGGGTTGCATCAAGTTCTAGAATAAAGGGTTGATAAGTAAGCAAACGGTCGTATACTTGGCTAAAACTTCAGAAGAGATTTTTAAAATAAACTTTTTAATGTTTTCATTGTTTGATTTTATTTCTCTGAAATTTAGGTTTTATTTGTCTGATTTGGAACATGATGAAGATTTCTGGAAACTGTTTTTCATTAGGTTGTATTAAGTTCAGGATGGAGTAGGTTTTTCAAGGGAAATATTTGTGTCTGATAAGACTATTAAAGCTTCAGATAAAGTGACTCAGAGCATAAGACAGAGCACTTCAGAGTGAATTAATCTTGCTAGTTTTATTGCTTGTTCTATAAACTACAAGTGCAGGGCCAAACTCTATCCTGGCATGGATCTGCTGACAATTTGACCCAGCACCTTATTTTCTGAAACTTTTATTAAAACAAATTAACAAAAAATCTGTCAAGCTGTTTGCCCTGTATGTAATCCACTGTATTTTAAATTAAGACAGATTTGCAAGAGCTCAATTTCTCCAGCTGAACTAGAGGCTAGCCAGAAACTAGAGACTTGACCTGAAAACTGGTTATTCTGCATTCAGTATACCAATCTTAAAGAAGAAAGATTTTCCAGCTTTTAAGGGAAATTCATGTGAGATTAAGTAATCCTGTAGTGATACCAGCAGAAGAACCTGAGCCTATGGAATAGAAGTGCAGTTCTTGTGAATATTGCCATGAAAAGTTTAGAACTGTTTTTTTTTTTTTCTGCTCTCAGTGCTGTTTAGTTGAGGAATACTGCAGATGATAGGTACTGCAGCAGTGACTGGGTTTGTTGTCCTTGGTATTTATTTGCTTTCCATTTTAGTGTGTAACTGGTTTTAAGAAGTGCACGTTAATCACATAGCTGACATGTAACGTGTTGATTTTTTTTTTGTCCATCTTTTTTTATTGTTCTCCTTTCCCCTCTAGCCTCCTTGAAGCCTCTGCGTGAGTGTGCGCTGTTTGATTCTTACTCTGAAGCATTGCCTGGCGGCCAGCCGACTCGGGACTTCAGCCGGATGGAGGTGAGGAAGTGTGGTCAGGATAGCTCCTGCAGAGTGCCAAGCAATAGGACAGTCTCATGCTTTCAGAGCTCCATTTCCCTGCATGCCGATGAGATGAAAACTCTCTTGTCTTTTCCTGGTTTCTTCTACTTTGCTTCTTTGGAGTTGAAAGTATCCCTGTTTTTTTGCGCTGTGTAGACAAGCATGATTGAGTTCTAGGTGACTCAGTCCCCAGTTTATTGTTGAGCTTTCTTATAGTCTAAGGAATTAGCACCTAAGGGTCTACTTAGTAATTGTAAGGAGCTGGACAGCTGTTTTGAAGGGGAACAAGGAAGGAATCTTAAGGATCTACTGTGAACAGTATCACAGTGTCAGGTAAAAGTCTGTTGCAAGTAGAAGTAAGTTAAGGAGAAGTCCTTATCACTGAGGTTAAAAAAAAAAAATTAAACTTTAACAGTCTTTAATGCTAAACTAACAGCAACCATTGAGTCGTACTTGGATATTGCAATTCTGAATGAATTCACCGTGGGATTCAAGGCTTTAGCATTTAAGACAGAGAATCAAATGGCAAATAGACTGAAAAAATGGGCTTTCAGGTCAGAATTGTTAAGGCTCTGAAAATTGCTGCAGATTGCTGCTGCAATTGAGTAGAAGGCTCTTCTGATGCTGCTGCCAGGTTAAAAAGCGATGATATGTCATGCCAGCCCATCAAAGTGTTTTCCTAGTTATTTCAACCCTGTGCCTTGTTCTGGGGTGTTTCTAGCTCAGAACTCAGTTCTTTTATCACCAAATTCAACTCAGGAGGGCCAGACAGACCCTCCTGACCTACTACTTCTAACACAGCCAAGTGTAACGTTTGCTTTGTGTAATGCTGCAGTCGACGCTTTGAACATCTACTCTGTTTTCTGGAACTTTTAAAATATGTGTGGCCTCCCTAATGCACTTGCTGGGTATTGCTTTGGTACAGCAGCTTAACTAAAGCACAGCATTTCCACTGGGTTTTGAAAGCAGTGCTATTACTCCGGTATTGTGTGGTCTGGGGAGTCCTTGTTCCAGTTAGGATGCTGTCTTCACAAGTGATTGCCCAGATAAACAGAGCAGATTTTTGTTGCTGCAGAGTTGTGATAAAGTTTGTTCTTCAGTAGCACAGCCTTTGGGACTGTGAGACTATAGCATTCGTTATATATATTTCAGAAAGCCTAGAAATCTTGCTTTCTAAGTCATCTTATGTTTCTTGGTCATAAAACGTTATTCCAATAACCTAACCAGTATAATTCCATGACTTCATTAAATGTCTTATTTTTAGGCTCTGCTTGTTTATGGTCCATTAATATAGGTGCGGAGTAAGGATAAATCTAAGCAAAAAAGCTCTCAGGCTCACAAAAACCCCAAGCAGCAAATCCCCCATTTTACATTTATTTTTTCATTTGATTTCCAAAAGTTAAGCTGTTAAACCCCCTCTGCCTGCTCTCTGCTCTCTCCTTAAGATGTTCTCACCATGAAGGCAAAAAACTTACTGCGGTGTGTAATAGTCAACTACCATTCTTGGGGGAATAGCTGGATGCACTGCCACTCCGTTCGTAGTTTCTGCAAGGTGGCAGGATGTTCTGTAAAATTGATTTTTTTTTTTTAATGACTGTATTGAAAACCAGAAATCTTTTCTAGCATGATTACCTGCTGGCTGAGAAATAGTGAGAGTTACCTGATTTTATCACAATGGTTTCCCTGGCTTTGCATTTTTTCTTCACTGTCTAGGACTTAGACACGTTGGGCAGAGCTGTCAATTAGTTTATTTTTTTTTGTCCTTTGTTATCCAGGATTAATGGAGCACAAAATCTCTTCTCAAAACTGGTTTGAGAACGATTTTGGCTTGATTTTTCATTGTTGTTGTTCAACTGATGTTTTTATGTTTGGAATTAACGTTCTGAATGAATTTCATTTAGAAATTCAATAATTCATCTCCCATTCATCTCACTGTGTGGGAAGTGCAGTAATTCACTGTTACAATTTAATTTGTAGCTTGGCTATTTGAGGAAACACAGTTTAGATACTTGGCCTTTCTGTTAGAAATACTGTATTATCAATGCAATCAGTTGTGCATCATCTCCATGTCTTTTGTCTCTTTCCATCTATCATCAATTCTGTCTGTTTAATTTCAGAAGAGCATTTTTACTGTGACTGCTGAACTACAGCACTACAGTAAATTGGATATGATTCTTTACTGTATTTATAAAGAAGATAATGTCAGCAGAAATGTCATTTGGACACCAGGCTTTCTTAAACTCAAAAAATGTCCCAATACTGGTAACGATATGTTCAAGAAAGATAAGAGTGTCTGTTTTTGCTAACCACAGTTTTGCCTTTCTTTTTGTTTTCAAGTTTTTGTTTCTCACTCTGATTCTGTTGTTTTTTTTTTTTGTTTGTTTGTTTGTTTTTTCCTTTCCACTCTTTTGGCTCCTTTCCATAAGCCTTCTCATTGCCAAAAGCTTAAAGATGAGATGAAAGATTTCTTACTGTAGGCATAAAACGACCGGCTGAGGTTGCTCTAAGCTCCCTCATACTCACAATTCATTGAATTTTGTGAGAATCATTCCATTGATTCAAGCATTCACTGAGTTAGGTCTTTAGTCTGACACTCTTAACAACTAAGAGTTGTTAAAAAAACAAGAGAGAGACTAGCGTCAAGTCTCATCCAATCCCATGCTATAGCAGCACCAATAGTTGCTATTTACCATGCACTTGGATTATAAATCCTAACATCAAAAGGTAAATCTCAATCATAATAGGATCTGGCAATCCTGAAGTATTCAACTCTGAATTGCTTCTATGCCTCTTCTTCCCAATGTTGTTTGTTGTTTTGTTTTGGTTTTTTTTTTATCTGCTTTGAAGCAGTCTGTGAAGATCAAGAACCACTGGTTCTCTTACATGTGACAAGCTCTGTTGCCTAGCCAGTTGGTGACCTTTTTGCTTTACTTTCTTGTAGCACTGACTGTAATATTTAGAGTGTCACGGCTAGCTAGGAACGTTAAGTGTTTTGCTCAAATGTTTTCAGAGTCCTCAATCTGTGTGTTTGCAGTGCTACTTCCTCAAAATCATTAGAGAGTCACATGTGCAATTTTATAAGATAGATCTCATGACAGTTTACTCTGGAGGTGTTTCTTGTTTTTTTTCATGTCTGCAAGATCTGTGTTTCTTATTATTTTTGCACGATGGATTGTAACCTGATATGTGCTTCCTAAGAAAAAATCAAACCAGCAGCATTAACTTAATATTTCGAGAAGTGTGGTGTTTCTGACACTTGTTTTATAGTTGTTTTGACCACAGAATTGTTCTTATAGATACTGGTTGCAGAATTTGTTCCTACTTCCTTCTCAGTATGCTAACAGCAGAAGTTAGAAGAACCGCAAATGCCTACATTGTAAGTTGCTGCTGAAACAGCTAAGGAGTACCCCTTGAGAGCAGCCCTGCAGAGAAGGACCTGGGGGTCCTGGTAGATGAGAAGCTGGACATGAGCCAGCAGTGTGCACTTGCAGCCCAGAAGGCCAACTGTGTTCTGGGCTGCATTAAAAAGGGGTGGCCAGCAGGGAAAGGAAGGTGATTGTCCCCCTCTACTCAGCTCTTGTGAGGCCCCATCTGCAGTACTGCGTCCAGGCCTGGGGCCCCCAGCACAGGAATGACGTGGAGCTCTTAGAGCAGGTCCAGAGGAGGACCACTAAGATGATCAGAGGGCTGGAGCACCTCTACTATGAGGAAAGGTTGAGGAAACTGGCATTGTTTAGCTTGGAAAAGTGGAGGCTCTTAGGAGACCTCATTATGGCCTTTCAGTACTTGAAGGGAGCGTATAAACAGGAGGGGAATGGCTGTTTATGAGAGCGGATGGTGATAGGACAAAGGGGAATGGATTTAAACTGAGACAGGAGAGGTTTAGGTTAGGTGTGAGGAGGAAGTTTTTTTACTCAGAGGGTGGTGAGGCACTGGAACAGGTTGCCCAAGGAGGCTGTGGATGCCCCATCCCTGGAGGCATTCAAGGCCAGGCTGGATGTGGCTCTGGGCAGCCTGGTCTGCTGGTTGGCGACCCTGCACATAGCAGGGGGGTTGAAACTGGATGATCTTTGAGGTCCTTTTCAACCCAGGCCATTCTGTGATTCTGTGATTCCTGTTTTCCCATTAGAGGCTATAGCAGACATGCTAATGAAATCATTTTTCCCTTCTCTGTAAGTGCGTGTTGAAAGATACAAGTAGTCCAAGAATCAGCCACCTCAGTGAGAATGGTTTAGATACAGAACTACTGGACTGTGCTGTCCACCTTGTTTTCACCAAATAGAATGTTCAGGCAGAGACTAACTATTTTGAAAGGGCTGGAGAAGATTTCTTTAGCCCTAGTGCAGGAGTTTTACCCAGAGGAAAAAGGGAAACACAGAATGACACTGCTCTGTTTTGGGAAGTGTCTCATGGCATATAATCCTTAGTTCCTTGTGATTCAATCGTGATGAATTGCTTTTTTAACTAATTTCAGGTGTGAAACTGGTATACCTTTAAAAGCAGATTCATAGCTATCTTTTTAAAGATCTTCCCTGCTTCTTTATCATATAAAGCCAATCTTGATGCAAGAGAGAAAATCACCTTTATTCATGTTTGTCTGCGTTCTTAAATATTTGACTGTGGAAATGTGTGTGTCTGCTCTGATTATTATTATAATAAGTGATCTTCTCTCTTTAAGAAGGCATCAGCTGAAGAGGTACCTGATAATTCTGCCCTGATAAAAGATACGAGCAAAGATGACAAACAAGGTATTCAAATAATATATATATATTTTTTTTTTCCACTTAAGTTCCACGTGTTAATTAATAATTCCATGTATATGCTGACAGAAACAATCGTATGTTTGATTTCCAGGCTGGTTATGTTTTGTTGTAGATATAAAAAAAACAAGTCATTGACAGCAGCTGATGTGAAGAAAAATGAATGGATAGGTTTGCTCCGTAATTAACTATCCCACGTGAACTGTATGGAATACGCCTTTTAAGATAGGTCTAGTCCTAAGGCAAGTAGTGTTGCTCTTCTTATTTCAACAAAGTTACAATTGTCATTAACTGAGATTTCATGGAGGCTGGATTGTACCAAGTTTCGGATTTACTTTTTTTGCAGAGAATAGCAACATTTCAAAATCAGTTTTTATTCTGAATGAAACAACAACAATCTAATAAAAAAGAACCACAACCCTTTATTTTCTTGTAAAGCAAACATTTTAGACAACCTGGAAAAGATTCATTAATGCCACTTGGAGTCTCTTGGAGTCTGGGAGTTAACCAAGCGAAATTGAAGATTTTTTTTTTTACTTTTTACACTCAGCAGCTCAGGACTTTCAGAATCAGCCCTGGATGATAGCATGGTCATTGCCTTTTGTATTCTCTATCCCTGACCTCTCAGGTTCTCACTTGCTGTCCTTGTCCCTCAGCTGTGGAAATGAAACATCTGTGGGTATTTTCTTGCCTGATTCTCAGAGCTGCAGATAATGTATTCATTAAAAAAAAAAAAAGAGAAAAGAGAAAAAAAGAAGTAGATCTTGACTTTGCAGCTGTCCACATCAGAGCCTTGAGACCAGGTTGTCCACATTCCTGAATGACATTCTAAAACAGGCGTGACCAAGTTTGGCAGATTTCTTGTATTCCTTGGTTTAAGAGAAGTTGTCAAAATCAATGTATGTTTGTAAAACACTTGGATAAGTCAGTGTATTCCAAGAAACTCATGTTTTGTCGATGAGGTCTGTTACACTGTAAAAATCATAATGCATAAGACCAGGAATTGACCTGTGAAGGTTATTGCTTTCAAACATCTTTGGAAGATCTAACTTTTACTTGATGAATTCGTTTTCTTCTGTGATAGGAGAAGAAACAAAGAACTTGTTCTTTGTTTTGGGCTGGTGGTGTGTTAGGTCTGATGAGAAGCTACTCCAATTCATGTGGTCCTTTTTGACTGAGGGCTTGCTGTATTTATGACAGATTCCTACCTTGTCAGCCAAAGAACAAATGCTCTCTCATTCTACCATTTATTGCTATTCCAGCAAATGAAAGAACATATTGCTTGCCTGGCTGAATTGTTGTTCCCACACTAGAAGAATCTGCAGTTCAGGACTGCAGGAGCAAATTTTCCTTTGCTTTCAAAATGATACAAGTAGATTATCTCCACTACAGTATCAGGTTTTGATATAGTTAAGTGTGGAAATCATGCAAATAGAACTTAATCTGAGAACCAGACTGGTCCCATGCTTTCTTTGATAAAGGCAGATGAAGATGAGAGATTTCTTTAAAAGTGGTCGTTTATAATGCAGCGTATTACATGCATTAAAATATGCTAGTGTATGAGGAACACTTGAGAAAGCTATTAATAAAGGATGCATAGACATTGGTGAGAGAGATACAAGCACAAAAAATCGTGGTTTCTTGAATTTTAATCTTGTCTCTATCAGTGCTATTTGACTTCCCTGGGGCAAGCTGATGAGGCTTCAGTTGCCAAAAGCAGCTGTCTCTGCTGTGCCCTGGGTTTCTGGGTTTGTACCTTCAAAGAGGTGAGTCCCAGATCTGTCAGGTGTTGCTGGTGTCCTTCCTTCATTCAAACATCAAGTCCTCAAATTAGGGATTGTTTGGCAAGTTGAGCATAGGCCTTTCTATTCTTGACTTTTTGGCTCTTATGAATACTGTTAAGATATTTGGTGTTCTGAGACTGTTTTGCTATTGTTGGTTTCTCTTCATGTATGTTTGGCTTTATTGAGCATTCCAATGGATACTGTTCTAGTACTGCTTTCTCAGAGCTGATACCTAAAAATATGATCTGTACATATTTAATTTTCTTTCTTTTTTTTAACAAGCTCTTAAAGTAAGCACTGCTGTCAAAGTGATACCAAAGGAATTTCAGCACTTGACTGTGAAAACAGGTAAGGAGAAAAAAAAAAAATTGCAAGTTACTTCTATTGGAATTTCAATCATATATTTTTATATCAGAGCAAACCTAGGTTAATGTAATCTGGCTATTTTTTTTTAAGATCCCTTTTCACTATTATTATTATTATACTACAGAAACTAGCGTTTACCTCATAATGTCTATTACTTTATGAGTAATGTTGATTAGTACTTCAGGATGTCAAAATGTTCTTTTTTTTCTTCCCTTGTTTTTTAGCATATGTGTGTTCTTTGTGCATCAGAAATATTTTGGACGTAGTATTCTGAAAGGCATGTGAATTCTGTTGGTTTTTTTTATATTACAAATGAAATGTAGCATCTTATTGATAAAAGCTCTTCTCCGGTGTCAAACAAGTATGTGCTGTTTCAGTAACCGTGTAACTATTCTGAAATTGACTATTTTTTTTGCGATAAAATGCCGTTCACATTTTCCATCAGGAAGTTTTAGGTTAGATAGCCTTTTGGCACTTAGAATATCAGCACAAGCTTTTGTTCTGGGGCTTTTCTCTTGCAAAACCACCTATGATTTTTCTTTCTCCAGCTCTGATATAACCTTCTTGATGTAATGCTGGAAAATTTTAATTTTGGAATGACATAGTGAAAACTGCTTAGCTGCTCCAGAAACTTTCTGTGCATTCAGTTCAGTTCATCAGGTCTCCCTTGCCCTCCCCTTTGTTAGCCTCTTTCCTGGAGTGGTAAGAATGTTGGACATTTCCCAGTGAAATTAGAATCTGGACCTACTTTCTTTTTCTTCTGAATAAACATTTTTACTCATGAAGATATCCTTGATTAAGAAAACCGACTCCAAATGTCTGTCACAGCAGTTCTGTCTCACAGCTCGATTTATTCATGGCTGCTCAACAGCTGCATGCTTCATTTCCCAACTTAACTCTTTCTTTTTATTTTCAGCTTTTTTTTTTTCCCCTGGCTTCTTCCTAAACACTTGGCAGCTACAAGCTGTCCTATCAGCTCTTTTTCTTAGAGTCACAGAATCATTAAGGTTGAAAAAGGCCTCTAAGGTCACCTAGTCCAACCATCTTGAACAACTGCTTCTCCTCTTATGCAGACAGACGTACATATTTGCTCCCTTCTGAAGGGAAAAGGAGGTCCATTCAAAAAATCAGTTCTGATCTCCCTTGTCCCTGTCCTCCACATTTTGCCCAGGAGCATCCCAAGAAGAGGAGGCTCAGGGATGATCTTATCTCTCTCTACAACTACCTGAGGGGAGGTTGTGGTGCGTTGGGGGTCGGCCTCTTCTCCCATGATTCAGGCTGGGCGTTAGGAAATGCTTCTGGTGGTTAGTGGTGCTGGAATGGACTGCAAGGGAGGTGGTGGAGTCACTGTCCTTGAAGGTGCTCAGGAAACATATAGATGTTGTACTGAGGGACATGGCTCAGTGGGAAATATTGGTGGTAGGTGGACGGCTGGACTGGAGGATCTTACAGGTTTTTTCCAACCTTGGTGATTCTATGATTCAAGGAGTTTTATTTTCACTTCAGCAAGTCCATTTTTGGTATGCTTAGGAAAAATAAAACACTGCCACCTGCATATCACTGTTGTCACCATCATTTCCCCCCCCCCCGCTATCTTGCATCTCCTCCTGCTCCTTTTCCAGTTCTGCAGGTTTTGCTTACCAAGGGAGGCAGTGTAAAAACCATACATGCTCAGCATCTCTGAAAGTCTGTCCATTTTATTTAGACTGCCAAGTGTAAGATCATTGCTGGCCTTGGACTTCTAAAGGATTAAGGGATCAAATTTGTAAACATTTGAATTTTTGTCTAGGCCACCAATAAGAGATGATAGATGAGTCACTGCAGATGATTTAAACTAAAAAATCTTGTTTTGTTTTCCTTATCAGTGTAGCATGTTTGCACCTTTTATAAGACAGTTTTCCACTGAAGTCTCCATCCCATAAAGCATGGAGGCCCCAGTTGTCTGTTGGGTTACAGACAGAAGTTGTAGATTCTGCGTAATTAGAAACGTTAAAATGAAGTTGAGCTGGGGGAGGGGCTGGAAGCAGTTAAACAGCCGAAAAGGGAACCTTCATATTCTCCTGTGGTTTGAGTGAATAAGTAAGTTCACCATCAGGCACGATTTTAATTGGTCCAGACCAGGCTGCTCAGTTCATCGGGCTCTGGTAACCCAGGAATCATACAAACTTTAAAATAATGAATGTAATCAATTTACTCAACAACTTTGATTTTTGTCTTGGTTTCATGTTAGTTAAGCTTGCTTGTTCATAGCAGTAGAAATATGGAAAACTCATGAACCAAGTAAATATTTTTGTATCATCTTGAATGATCGTTGTATATGTGTGCAAACCTACACCTTACACATGAAATATGCAAAGAGGGAGTGTACCACGATGCCAGCACACTGCAGAGAAATGCTGCCACATTGTTGTTTGCGTGCCTTAATAACGAACTACCTGTTTTACAAGAGTTTTGTGTATTGTTTTTCACCTTATGAAAGATTCACACTATGGCTAGGTCTGGATGTTGTGTAACTGCAGTCTTGAATTTCCTGATTTTCAGGAGCTTAAAAGAAAATCCTTGGCAGTAGTATTACGTTGCTATATTTTTTTATTTGCAGTCTTTTCAGGTCTTTCTCTTCCTTTTGCGTTTCTCTGTTTACCTCAACAAGATGTCCTCAAGGACAGATAAAACGTCAGTTTTACCTGTCTTTTTTATTTTTCCAGAAGAAAGGCTTTCTAAAAGAAGTATGAACAGAATTACTATCTCCATAAAAGAAAGAAAATTGGATGGTTCTTAAGCATGGCTTAGCTTGGAGAGGATTTATACTTTCTATTTCTAAATGGCATATATTTAATAATTGTGCATGTAATTTAATAAGCAGCAATTGCAGTATTTTGAAAAATTGGGTCATATGGCTGTAGAGAGGCAGCTTCTCCAGTTGTATTCTCAGGAAGTTTGACAGAGAGCAGGATTATCACACTGCATGTTTTAATGGTAATTCCCTCTCTCTTCTTTAATTGCTTTTATAAGAGTTTGTTGCACAGAAACCTGGAATGACTGTGAGCCAGTTTGCTGGTGACGATAATCTGATAGAACTTGGTTTATAAATGTTTTTTTGTATCTCTGCCAGCTGCATTTGGGTTTATTACATCCAAAGCACCAGCTATTGCTGTGTGACCCTGAAAGCCATTTCTTTTGTTAAGTAATAGCGTGTGGCTGTACATGTGGCATATGGTATTTGTTGTGCTCTGTATGCCTAAAGCCTCCTGAGTAAGGCCTATGCAGGGACACGATGCGAGCCATTAAAAGGTCTGTATTTGCCAGCTGCTACCACAGGGAGCTCCTGCCCTGCTTGAGGGAATCTGTTGTACTCTCAGGCAGTGCTGTACAGCAGCTGATGGTAAATGTCTAACACCTATCTGAGGGAAGCAGAAGCTCTGAGAATTTTTTTCCCTAAACCATGACACCTATCCTCCTTGCTTCTCTGAAGTGTTGTGCCTTGATTAGCAGAACACAACAGGAAAACGTAAAGATTCACTTTGTAAGTGCATTGGGATCACTCATACTGTTGCAATACCTGGAGGATTGTTCTGTGGGTTGAATTTGAAAGCAATCACACTGATATATTTTCTCAAGATTGCTTTATGTTAGCGAGGAGAGCAACAGCAAAGTCTTGTAAAGAGTATGTAAACTGAGGAACAGCCTCAAGGAATTTCCCAGAGAAAGTAACTCAGCACTACTGTTTTCCTATTACATAAAATGTGGAGGTGGCAGGATGTTCAGAATTCACACAAGTAAAAGAAAGAGATTTTTACATTAATAGAAATGTTTCTGTCCAACACTTAGCCTACAAAACTTTCTACTGTTCCTTAAAATGCCTTTCTTAAAATGCCATGCCTTTGCTGTGTTGAAGTAACTTCAACCTGATGTATTAAAAATTGCTGTGGGTACAAGAACACAGACTTCTATACTAATTAGTTGAAGTGTTTAGGGAGGACCTAAATGTTTGTGCTCTGGAATCTGGGGCAACATATAGACATCTGGACCAGGAAAAAGATGTTTTCTGTGGGAAGTTTATATTATTCCTGTGTTGCTTGCCAACTCTTTTTTGTCATGACTGCCTCCAGAATTGCTGGCCAGTGCTGTCAGACCCATTGCTTCCTCTGCTCTGCAACAGCCAAATCAGAAGATGAAGTTCTGACTATGCTTGGGCTTTTGAATTTTCAGAACATTGACACATTACAGAAACAAAGGAGGAGGAGAAGCAAAAACAAATTGCGTGAGATGAGCAAGCTCTCACATTCACATTTGCTAAACTCAAATGTACACTGATCTAACAGCTCTTATTTAACATATTATGTGCTAGCAGATCTTTTTTCTCTTTCAGCTGCTCAGGAACCTCATGCACTTAAAGCCAGGCCCAGATCCAGGTACCGCTTTCATTTCTGTTTCAAGATAAGATGTGCACTGCCCTGATGTTAAACGTGAGGTGTGATGATGGGTGTTGTCATGTAAGCTGCAGCCCCCTGGAGCACTGCATTATGCCCTGCGGTCTTTGCTTGTAAGGCCCTGGCAGTTCTACCTGGCCACTTCCTTGGGGTGATGGCTGCCTCCAGCCCTGCCTCTTGGGGCTGTGGCAGGATGGCAGGAGCCCCCTGGCTCCACGAAAGGCTCAGTGCTGTTCTGCTGTTAAACCCTGCATGGTGGCTGTGCACAGGTGCAGTGCCAGTGGCTCAGCTCTCATGTATGAATGAGTGCATCCTTTGGTAGCTATGCTTATGCGTGCCTGTGACTGGTCAGCTCTTAACTGAGCACTAGAAATAGCACCCTGCTGGATTTGGATATTCTAAGGAAATGAGAGATGTGCCAGGAGCTACTGTGTATAAATGGATTATGTATTGGTTTTGGCTCTTCTGGACAGTCAGATCATGCCTTCACCTTAAAACTTCTGTTTTTCAGTTTGTCAGAGGGCTTCAATTCTTTTGTTAGTCAATTAAAATAGTCAGGAGTTCTTTCCTTATAAGCTTGTCAGAGTTTGCTAATAAGAGAAGACCAGCTCTCCACATAATGAATGGAGATGGAAATTCCCTGTTCTTGGAGATTCCATCCAGAAAGGTTGAACCACCTTGGGTGCCATTTTTCTGCTGACAGCCATTTTTGCTTTTATGCTGTTTTAAATTCGCTTGCTGTGTTGCTGAATCGTAGAATGTAAATAAGAAAACAAAACAAAACAAAAAGCATAAGGCTATTTTATGCAAGATTCATGTAAAAGTTCTTCAAACATAAAATGCAAATGCTTAAATGAGTTTGAAAAATGCTACTTGAACGTGAGTGATGATGTGATGTATGTCTCACATCTGACTTAATGTCACTGCTTCAATGCAGAAGTTGGACTGGACATCACCAGGTACATCCTTGCACCCAGCCCAGGAGCCTGGCTTTTTAGCATAAGTTGGTGAGGTCTGCCTACTGGAAGCAGAGATTCGTTGTCACAGGGTTCTGTGTTACGAGGTTTGGGTTAGGTCTTAAATGATAATGACATGGAATTCAAAGCTCTATCAAGACAAAAACTTCATTATCAGCAGAGGTTTTTGTGTCAGATGTAAATTTTGAAGCAATTACAGCTTTCACTCTTGTATTTATTAAAGTTTACATCAAAAACAGGATCAGCATTGCCAAGTGTCTGTCCAACTAAATAGCTGTGTTCTAACAACAGCCTGTTTGGCAAGAAAAGATCTGTTTCCCATTAGTGGGAGTTATTTCTGTTCTACTCAAATGTGGTTTTGGTCTTGCCAGTCATACATAATGTATTACAGTATGTATAACATCTCACATTGTCAATGCTCATTTTGAATAAAGCCCTTGATCATGCAGAAAAACTGGTAACTACAACAACTGAAAAATATTGGATGCTATTCAGCAAAATCAGAGCTCTTACCAAGTGCACTGCATTGGGATTACATGGTATGGACTTACATGGGATGGCCTAGAAGGGTGTACTGAGACATGCAGTTGACCACTCTAGAATGCTTTGGATCCATTCAGTTTTTTTGGTTTTTGTTGAATTTGGTGACTGTTTACTATGAAAAATAATATTCTGGTAGCTAAAGTACTATAAATGACTAAATATTGCATACAGGAGTTCAGTTGAGGCTACACCTGTATAAATAGTACCCTTGTAGTTGGGAAAGCAACAGAAACTGTAATGAGATTTTTTTTTTTTTAAACCCAGATTTATTCAAAATAGTCACTACAGTTATTGTTGTGGCAGTTGAAGTTTCACGAGAGGAGCCAAAAACCTTAGAAAGAATTAGCCCTCTTAGTGTGACAGGTCCATTTCCCCACATGCATAGTTTCTTCCCCCTGTTGCCAAATGAATCCGCTTTGTTACAAGGGGAACTGTTAGTCAGCAGGGCAAGGGATTTCCACCGTGAACTCAAGTTATTTTTAGGTTCACTGTATTTGTTCATTGTTCATAATTCACTGTAATTGTTTAAAATGAATTTTGTAATAAAATATTTTCTGCTTTTTTTTTTTTTTTTTAAACTGTTCTTCCATAGGTCTTATTCTAGCACATCCATAGAAGATGCCATGAAAAAGGGAGAAGAGCCCCCTACTCCACCTCCAAGGCCACAGAAGTCACATTCCAGAGCTTCCTCTTTGGATCTGAACAAAATATTTCAACAAAACACACAAGGTAATGTTTGCTTTCTTCCCTTCTTTTGAGACCATTTAGGTTAGTTGCATATTTGGCGAGTTGATCTGTTTGCACAAACGTTTGACAATATGTGCATATGGTTTTCAGTGCTATAGACAGTAATGTATAACAGAAGAGGTTGAGCTTTATGGCATTACATCACCAGTGAGGGGGGAAAAATCACTCTATTGCCATAATTAAGGTGATTATAATATTTTCTGGCACTATAATGAGAAGCTTAACATATGGTAGTCTGTCATCACTAACTGTTTATAACTAGTCTGGCTGCTTAGACCATTTTCATTAGTAAATACAGTGCATTTGATTTTTATTACTATTCATTATTTGTAGCTCAAAATCAGGAAGAAAACCTGGAATGTTTAAGGCAGGAGGAAGTGAAATTTGTTATATGCAAATATTTTTGACATTCAAGTCTTCCTTACACGTAGGGGCCATCAGAAACCATTCATTGGCTAAACAGGAAGGGTAATTTCTTTTGACGTGGATGCACGTTGAGGGGAGAGAAAGACGTTGGATTGTGGCTGGAGGGAAATAAAAGCAAAACGTATTCCAGTGCTTTAATGTTGAAGCATTGCTTTTGCACTGCACAGCAAGTGGTGGAAAGAGGAGCTGTTTGTTCAGGAAAGCAGGCACCCAGCTCTGCTGAACTCTGGCAGTGTCCCTGAATTGGGCCAGAGGTTTATGCAGCACACACCAATCATCTGCCTCAAGGACTAGGTTAAACATGGTCATGTTTATGCTTCACAGGAAAGCCAAGGTCTGACTGTGTCAAGGAATGTTTTAACTGGGTTCTCTAATGTGGCTGTTGGAGTAGGAAAAAAAAGGGTTTTGTCTGTTGCTGTATACGACTTCTTTGTGGAAACATCAGACAGAAATCAAGAGTCCTGTTATGTGTGCCTAACCCTGGAACTCACCAGCAGTAAACAAATTTTGTTTTGTCCTTACACAGTGAAGTAATTCCTGATCTGTGACTGCAATTCCTGTTCAGGGGTCTGTTGCCCCTAATTTTGCTTTCAGTATACATAAAATATATATTGTGAGAACAAATAGAGCCAAGTATGCATTTTATAAGGCAGAAAATCTTCTCAGATTCCAGATAAAATGCATAACTGCAAGGGAGTTAACTTGGATTTAAGTTTCTTTTGGAATACAAATGAAAAGGGAATGTAAATTCTCTAAGAAATCGTTTTGTGAATGAAAAGTAACATCTTGCTTTGAAATGGATCTTCTTGAAAGTCACAGTTACTGTGTTACAAGTAAAATGATTTCTTCTGGGCAGCTTAACAAACTGGAAGTGTTATAGAACATGACTGAAGGAATGGTTAACTCATTGATAGATTTTTGGATGGCTTCATCACTGGAAATGGGACAAACAGCTAAAGATAGGCAATATTTTGTTTAGAAAAGAAAAAACTAAAAACAAACAAACAAACAGACTCCCCCCAGAAGTACGTACTTCGGTTATCCAAAAGCAATTCATTATACTTAGTTCAAATTTATAGATAAGTAAAACTGGAAAGAGAATTGGCTCTAGGTTGACAAAACCTGAAATATAGTGTGCTACCAAATTGCGGATATGTGAAAGAGGTCTCCCAGAGGTTCAGCTTCCTCCTTTGCCTGCAGGGTCTTGGCATGTAATTTTTTGCTGTCTTGAATGTGCCCTACTGGTAGTGCTAAATGTTTGGGGTGGATGTCTTTCAGTCCCTTCCAATGGAGCACTTCTATTTTGTGTCCAAAATGTAAATACTCCCTGAGTGAGGATGTGGAGAAATTTGTAGCCTTTGTGGATTTAAAGAACAATTTGTTAAACAATGTATAGCCCTACTAAGGGTTCAATTTCAAATAAATTTGCATTATCAGTAAAGAATTAAATCAAGCCATCCCAATACACCCAGATACCACAGTGCATGTATCTTGCTTTGCTCTCATTAAAAATGTCTGTATTGGAAGTAGTGTTTTCAGTTCTTTGTTCTGTGAAGAAACGTAAGCATGCATTTTTCTGATAGTAAGCCCTGAATGTTTGTTATTCTGTAGCATCTTATTGATAATAAGTCTTTATAAAGATGCTTTTTCTTCTCCCACTTCTCTTGTTTTGACCACTGCCCTTTCTTCCTTCTTTCCTTGTTGGATTTGCCATTCATTAGAAGTTCCAGTCTCATCATTTTGTGTATTCAGATACCTTTGTCATCTAAAGACAGTTCTTCATGGAGTGGTCAATTTTTAGGAGCCAAATGCTTCAAAAAGAGAGTTTTTAAAAGAAACTGAGAACCGTCACCTTAAACCCAAAAGCTCTAGAAGGACAAGTGGCATATGCACACAGGTCAAGTAAATTGCAGACACTTGTATAATAACAACCTGTATTTCTATTTCTGCAGACAGTATAAATCATGATGTCAGAATAGTTTCCATCTGCAGTTGGAAGATACAATTAAAGATTTTCAATATAGGTGATATGATGGCAATGTACTATTTAGGTTTCTTGGTGATTGGGATAATACAAGCTGGTATAAATATCAAACCTTATGTGGGTCTACCCGCATGCTAGTTAATTACTTTCCTGGTGTACTCTTGACTGAATGTTTGTTTTGTTTTCTTCTTGTCTTCCTTTCTGGATCTTCAGAAATACTCTCATTGTGTCCCTCTCTACTCTGCCCTTGTGAGGTGCTGTCAAGAGTACTGTGTCCAGGTCTGGACCCTTCAGTCCAAGAAAGACAGCTGTTGGAGAGGGTCCAGGGGAGAGCCACAAAGATGATCAGGGGGCTGGAGCACCTCCCCTACGAAAACAGGCTGAGAGAGCTGGGCTTGTTCAGCCTGGAGAAAAGAAGGCAGCGGGGTGACCTCATTGCAGCCTTTCAGTACCTAAAGGGAGCCTACAAACAGGAGGGGAACCAACTCTTTGAAAGGGTTGATAACTGCAGGACAAGGGGAAATGGTTTCAAGTTGAGGGAAGGTAAATTTAGGTTGGATGTCAAGGAGAAGTTCTTTACAGAGAGAGTGGTGAGGTGCTGGAACAGGCTGCCCAGAGAGGTTGTGGATGCCCCGTCCCTGGAGGTGTTCAAGGCCAGATTGGATGGGGCCCTGGGCAGCCTGGTCTAGAATTAAGTGTGGAGGTTGGTGGCCCTGCATGTGGTGGGGTGGGGGAGGTTGGAGATTCATGATCCTTGAGGTTCCTTCCAACCTGGGCATTCTGTGATTCTGTGGTTCTGTTATAGCTGAGCCACAAAAATTAGCAGCTAGAATTTGAATGGCTGGAAGGCCATCCCTTCTAGATCCATTGTATTGCTAGTGTCAGTGCAGAAAAATAGACACTATAATCGGCCATTTTAATAACATCCCATGTGATTAGAATAATTCCATTCTGGTGCATTAGTTTTTGTCCTACTAATTCTTGTTCAGTGATAATCCTGATTATGCGAGTCTGGTGAATAATCTGTTCCTGTATGAGTGCTCAGTAGCATTAACTTTTATTTTCAGTTCCTCACTGGTCATATTGGTCTATGGGTATTGCTTCTTACATTGCAAAGCTATCAGTGGTCAGGAATGTTACTTGGTGTATTTCATTTCCAAAGGGCAGAAAAAGAAAAATCTCTTCAGGTAAATTCAACCAATGATTATGGCAGATCCCTATTTGGTTTGATTTTCACAAAACCATAGAATGGTTTGAGTGGGAAGCGTTTCCCTTATAGGACTTGTAGTCCAACCACCCCACAGTGAACAGGGACACCTATAGCTCCATCAGGGTGCTCAGAATCCTTTCTAGCCTGACATTGAATGTCTCCAGAGACAGGGCATCCATCACCACTCTAGGCAACCTGTTCCTTTATCCTGTATTTTATCATTTACTGAGTTGTTCTTCTCAGTTGTGAGAGGGAAAAAAAAAGCACGTGAGAATAATTCATCAGTTTATATGGCATGCTTGAGAAAATATTAATAATAATAATAAGATCATTACCATGTGGTAATATACCATATGCTGAAGAAACCTCACAAAGCTCAATGCTGGGGTTATAAAATACTGGTATTAGAGAAGCATTCTGCCTAATGCAGAACTGTTTTTTTCCCTCAAAGCAGTCATAGGATGCCCCTGTTTTTTGCTTTGCTTTACAGGGTGATGTGTTTTCTCAAGCACTGCACAAACAAGTTGCTACAGTTGAAGTCTCAGTGTCTTAAAGAAGAGGATTTTCAAAACCCCACTGCTCCCTGCAGAGTTTTGCCTACAGTATCTGTGTAAGGCTGTTACTGTATTTAACTAGAGGAAGGTCACTGCCAAGCCAGTCAATACTGTGAGTACACATGAGAATTTCTGTTAAGACATGTTAGGAGACAGAAGACTTTTTTTTTTTTTTTTTTTTTTTGATGGTGAAGCCTTTGTGTTAGCATCTGACAGAAATTTAGCACAGCTAGATTCTCAGTGTATTTCTTCTTCTTGAATGTATAATCTCTGGCATTTGGCCTATGTACATATGAAGAAAATATTTGGCTGGGTTTAATGCATTCCTGGAAAGACAACAGCAGGTTTTAGCACACACACACACAAAAAGTCAGTTTAAAATATGTGTGACCTGGTTTACATCTTCATTTCTCTGCTAGCCTGCTGTCTAGCCAGATGCAGGCAGGAGATTCTAGCGTAAGCCCTGAGAGCCTGCAGCCAGCAAAGCTTTTCTGCACTTTGCACGAAGGTGTGTGCAGAATCAGCTCCTCTTCAGGCTCCTCGTGTCCCAGCACTGGGGTGGGGGGAGCAGGCACTGGGGAAGCCCAGCAGAAAGCCAGGGTTTTCCTTGGGCTGGGGAAGGTCCTGTCTTCAGGGTTAGAACTGAAAAACACATCTGCTGTCTTCCAGCATTTTGTCTGATCACATTTTCAGCCTCTGAGAGCTACAATTGGGCCATTGTAGGCAGTGAGAGCAGTCAGGGGCTTGTTAGATTGATACTGATGCCTCTGAAATATAATTAAATACATCTAGTGTGGAAAGCGTTTTA